TGGGCTGTGTTGGGTCTTTGTTGCTGTGGGCGGGCTTTCTCTAGTTGTGGTTAGCCAGGGCTACTCACTGCGGTGGCTTCTCCTGTTGTGGAGCACGGGCTCCAGGCGCACAGGCTTCAGTAGTTGGGGCACGCGGGATCAGCAGTTGTGGCGCAGAGGCTTAGTTGCTCTGCGGCATGTGGGATCTTCCTGGACCAGGGCTCGAACCCGTGTCCCCTGCATTGGTAGGCGAATCTCAGCCACTGCGCCACCAGGTAAGTCCCTTGACCTCGGTTTTAAAATAGGTTAAATTGATTTGAAACTTAGTTAATACTTGATGCTTTTTCCAGTAAGAATCGTGTGGAAAAGGAGCATTGCTCAGGTCAATCCATAAAGGCTTGTTAATATAACATAGTAACAGAATGGAGCTAGCCACCATTTATAAAAACAATATATAAAAACTGTATGGAGAACTCAAGCTTGGTCTTGAGTGATTTCATTTTATAAAATCTCATTTGTACTACTGTCGTCCATTTTTTCTTTCTTAAAAGTGGTAATTGTAAATAATTTGGGCAAAGATTACATGTATTCTTTAAAGGTAATTTTTATTACCTAACATCCTTCCTTTTTGTTTTGTTTTCCTTAGGAAAATATGCCCAGGTTACCAACAATCCTGAAAATGACGGATGCATAAATGCAGTCTTACTGGTTTGACAGCAGATACATACAAATAACTCCTTATAATTATTGAAGACTACACACCAATCAATCAGGAAACCATTACTCTGATATTTCTGAATACTACCAATCAATCAGCCTTACATGTCTGCAGTCATCAAGAAAACTATTTATTCTATTGTTTTTTAAAAAAAAAAAAGATTAAAATGGCCTGGTTTTACAAATTGGTCTTTTGCATCTGTTTAGCGTTTAGATGTTCATCAAATTGCATGATTAAAAAATCAGTTATAGAAATATCCTACTTCATCAGTATCTGCATTAATCAGTGGTACTAAGCAGTGCAGGTTTGTCATTATTGGAAAAGCCAGTGTAGTCGAAAACACATTTTATCAAAGGTTTGTGCACACTTAACTGTGAGGAATAAGCCAAGAAACTTTTTGTCAGTCACATCTAAGACCTTACCTGAGGTCTCCTCCTCCTCACTGTACATTATTAATCCTAAGAAATGTAGCATTAACACAGCATTTTAATGAAAATATAAAGTATATGAGAAGGCATACTACACTATGAAGTTCAAAAGAACTTAGATAAAACTTTTTACTTCTAATTATTCCTATAGTAAGTCAGGGAATTAGTATTTTAAACATTTTTCCCCTCTCATTCATCATATATAATGCCATATACTTGGAACTGTATTTTCTACTCAAGATAGATACATGAAAAAAATACCAACCAAAATGTTTATACTTTTAGCATTTCCTGTATTCTAAACTTAGGGTAGTGTATTTACATTTTTAAAGTGGTAAAAATTTAAGTAATTCCAGGTAAAATAATTTTAAAAAGAAAAAGGCTGCACTGATGCCCTTAAAGAGAAATTTATTTGCAGTTACTTAGATAATATTAAAAAGGTCATGTTTTAGTCAGAAGCACATTTGTGATTTGAGTTATGTTTGTGACTTTGAGCTTTAGGGTGTCTATATATTATATTAATTTATAATCACATTAATTGTTTTCAATTCTGTTTATTTTGTTTAAGTCTGTCTTGAAAGTACAACCAATATGATTGTGCCTTAAACGAAATCAGTGTCTAAACAAATTCAGTATCTAAACACATCACCAATGAACTTAGGGAAAAGGGAAGGAATTTCAAAACACAGACCAGGAAACAATCACAAAATATAGGTTTAATTACTACTGTTAAAAATAAAAAAAAAAAAATAGAAAAAAAGAAACTACCAAGAAAACAAACGTAAGTACTTGAGTAAGTCTTGCTATTCTGAATAATGTAACATCTTTTCTAAATTGTATAAACACAGTAGAAGTTTTAGAACACACAGACACTAAGGAAAAGAAAGGCTAGTTCCTTGGGAATTACTATCCAGTATGATACAATTACTTCAGGATAACAGAAGCAGAACCTTCCTTACAATTAGATTTTAACAAATGGTTTTGCCGCTAATAGAAATGGGGAATGTGTGAATGACAAATTTTGGAGGGTGAAAGAAAAAAAATCTACTGAAGGTAAGCACTGGATACAGAACTGAGGTTTGCTTATTTTTCACAACCAAAAATAAGCAAGTTAAACTATCTGTACAAATAAAGCTTGATACTAAGTATGCAAACAGAAGCATAAACATTTGTAACTAATCACACCCATGAAAGACTGGGTTAACACTTCAAACACGGTATTGCTACTAGTGGACATACAAGGCAGAAATTTCTAAAATACTGTTACACAGATGAGTGATGTTAGTATAAATTCTTTATTTACATTAAAATCTGTTTCAGTTTGCTGGTGTGACCAAACCTTAGAAGGTAATCCCTAAGGGTAAATCAGAATGTAAGAGCAGATATTTAGATACCAGGTAAAGGCTCAATTCTAGGCAATCATAAACCTTCAAGATATTTTTCTAAAGTCACTGAAACCATTTTAGGTGGTGTTCTGGTGGTCAGCTAAAAGTGAACCATTAATCACTAGTAGTTTTTATCCTTGCCATGATAATTTTCTGCACTGAATGGAAACACCATGAATAGAGACACATTTTAAGTAGTAGAAGACTGACATTCTGTCATGCTATTTGATTTTATAAAAAATCATAATAGACCCTCTCACTGTTAAAAGTTGTAGAGGAACTTTATAATAAATTCTTAAATATATTTCTGTGATGTCTAGCAATTGAATAAACTTGAAAGTAGAACTAAAATTTTGCTAATAACTGCTTTATATTACACAAGGAAATATATATGTATTTACACAAACTGAACTGAACTCCCTTCTCCACAAATAAGACTTCAAAACAGAAAAAAAGTTCACAAAGGACTATAGAATGTGACTGGACACTTAACAATTAGACTACCTGGTTGAAATCAGATTTCAGTCCTCTGTCATTCTCAGAGTTTCTCTAATGCCTTTTGCAAAAAGTACAAGTAATGTGATTAAGTTTTATTTAGATTCCTTATTGAGGATAAATTGTTATAAATTCTACACTCACTCACTGAGCATAGAACTCATTGTTACTGAACATGAAAGTTAGGTTTTTTTCATGTGACCTAACTTTTTCCTCTACCAACTATAAACTCCAAAATAACATTTTCTGTCAGATAATATGGACAAAAATTGTGTGCTGAACAGAAAGATTTGAAACTGCTTAAAATGCACCTACTGTTTAAACCAAACAAGTTTATACTGCGAGTCCTTAGTGGTCATATATGAATAAACATTTCTTTTTTGTAAACCTCAGCAACTATATTCCACACATCGAGTTGTCATCGAGTTAAACTACACCTTTTTAAAGAAAGTATTTTAAAGAGAACAATGAAGAATCCAAGTAAAAAATAAGTGTTAGGTTTTTAAATCTATTTTAAGAAATTAAAAATGGAAAGGTTAAGAATTTACTAAATCCTTATTTCCCTAATTGTGGTATTAACAAAAATTTCTCACAAAATGTATAAAACAGCATAAACATTCAATAGATAACACTAATATCAGTCATACTTATTCTTTCACTTGATTAGCATTTGTTGGGAAAACAAATGGCCCAAGTGCTTAATTTTCATTTAGAATGGAATAATCTGGCCTAACTGACCAATAATTAAAGAAAATAGTAGAGGATACAAGTATTCAAAGTTTTACACAAATAAGGAGGGTTTGCTATTTTGTCTGCTAAAGATTTTTACCTCAACTTTAAATCTTCCTAAAATGCCAACATTCCAAAATAAAACTTAGTATCATCTGACTGTAGACTGAATAAACCTTCAACATCAATCCTTAGCACCTCAAATAATGACACAAAGTCATAACACACTTTTTTTTCATGTAAGGACCAAGCAGTTTTAAATACAATCTAAATGGCCTCAAAGCATTCTCAAACTTACATGAAAATTTGAGTACACACAATACTTCCAAAGAGTAGGACTGTTTTAAAGATTCTCTTTGGATTCTAGGAATAACCATTTTGTTCATTTTAAAATAAATTATTATACAAAAATAAACAATTGAGGATGTTTTTTGTTTTTAGTTTACCCAGGCAAAGGCAACCACAATGTACACACAGGCTAGATTGTAACCTGTCCGCACAGAACAAATCAAGAGCAAGCAAGCCAAAAGGGACAAACGAGGGACAAACGAAGCCTCCAATCTGATTTAAGCTCTTGTAACCATGTCTCCTAGAGCAGCTTATTCCTGCCATCTAGGTCTAAGATTGTGGGGCGCAGTTCCAAACCTACCAAAAATGGAAGCCAAGGGCATAAGCTGGCAGGCAGGCAAAAAGATCTTTTGACAGGAATCACTCCATGAGTTAGGGAAGTGGATGAAAGTGAGGGGAATATAATGAAGATTCTAGAATAAAGGCAGTGGCAGGATTAAGGAGAAGCCTTAGGAAGGGTTCTCACACTTCTAAAGTATACATGTTAACTGGGTGAGGACAAAAGTACAGTCCCCAGATTCAAATGAAATTTTAAATAATTATACGAGTGCCTACAGGCCAGAGTTAAATCCCTAGCAGTACTGTTAATATCAGATGTTATCAAGAGTGAACTGGAAACAGATTTTGTTTGTGCCTTTCCATAGACATTGAAGTCAGAGGAAGAAATTGCACCTACAACTAAGAACTAAGAGGCCAAAATACCACCTTCATAAACCTTTGACCATAAATTTCCAAATTTGTGCTCTCATTTAGTTGAAGTTGCATTTATCCTAATTTACTGACATTTTTGTTTAAGCATGCCTACATTTTAAAAAATGGTGATTAGTTTTGAAATTTAAAACTTAGAACCTTCACCAAGATTACTATTAAAACCCTTAGTATAAAAGATTTCTGTGATCCTTACAATTGATGGAAACCCTACTACTTTCACATTTTTTAATTTATATTTTCTGAAATATTAATGGTCAGATATCCCCAACTGCTAAAGAAAATATAGTGAGATCTGGTTTCACAAAATCGAAACATGGTTAATAAAAATAAAAAAAATTTTATTTACACAAAATAGCCTGAAAAATTAAAAAGAACGGTGAATCCTTGGTCCTACAGGGGAGGGAAAAGCAGCATCATAAATAAGTTCAAATTGAAAATTTGGAGTTTTTGTCCTGTGCCCCATGCTATTATTTATTCACTGCCATATTTTAAAAACAACAATTATGTTACAAAGAAGAGGATTTATCATCCACATTTCTTCCTCATTCAGGTCAGCTTGGCTTTCTTCTTCGCAGGTCCTTTGTGCCCTTTGGCCTTTCTTCTTAAATTCCGCCTGTCGACCACAGGCACTTCCACTTCTATCTCCTCTGAGCTGCTATCCACAGTCTTCTCTGTTGATTGTGTCAACTGATCCAGTTGCTCAGAAGATGCTTCAGACTGCTCCTCTGACTGGTTCTTCTGTCCTGCATTCTGTGAAAATGGCACATCTTCAAGTTCAACCTCTATTAAAGAGCTCTGAGGAAGAGCTGGAGATGTCTCCTGGGGCTCAGCTACCCCCTCCTCACCCTGGTCTTCCAATGAGGCAGTAGTGTTGGGTGATACATTTTCAGGAATCGATTCTTCAGAAAATTCAGTTATCACGGAGTTTGGAAAACCACTGTCGGCCCGTTCTTCATTTGGGATAGTAGCCACATTGTCTGAACTCCCAAAATGTGCTTTCTTTCTTGAAACTAGAGGCAGCCTCTCTTCAGTGTGCCCCTTGTCATCAGATGGGCCTTCATCTAGCAACATTTCTGAGTCAGTTACATGTGAAGTCTAAAAACAAAAAACCTGGTGAACAACTTTTGCAATATAGTTCTTACATAAATTATTCTCAGACACTAATATGCAATGACCCTGAACCACATTTTAAAGAATTCAGTGCTCACTACTTTTGTTAATCATGTGCACATGTTCTGAATACAGCTCAACTTCTTCGAAATTGTCTTACATGATAATTTGGATTAAGTTCTTGCTTTAAAGATGCAATAAAAGTAATGATTTTACCCCAAAAAGTACTTAAGGCACAAACTTTATGTCAAGATTCTTCAAAACCATGAATCAACTCAGTTTTTAGTTTCCTGGTGTTACTGGAGCCAGAACCGAGAATCCTGGGTCTTGACACTGTGCTACCCCCACAGAGTTTGACTATTAGGTGAAAGGTGAGGGCAGCGAAAATTTTATTCATGTAATTATGTGAGACAGTAATAAAATAATACTATACAAGAGTTTTTTACCCTTAAATTGGAATATTCAAAAGTAGAAATTAAATTTCCTTTTTGACGTGGCACCTATATATACAATGGAATATTACTCAGCCATAAAAAATGAATGAAATCTTGCCATTTGCAACAACATGGATGAACTTAGAGGGGATTATGCTTAGTGAAATAAGTCAGAGAAAGACAAAAACCATATGATCTCATTTATATGTGGAATCTAAAAAACAAAACAAAATGAAAACAGACAGATAAAAAGAACAAATGGGTGGTTGCCAGAATGGAGGGAGTGAGGGGACTGAAAGAGGTAGGGGATTAAGAGGTACAAACTTCCAGTTACAAAATAAACCACGGGGATGTAAATATATAGCATAAGGAATATGGTCAACAATATTGTAATAACTTTATATCGGGAACAGATGGTTACTGGACTTACAGTGGTGATTTCATAATGTATACAAAATCAAATCACTATGTAGTACACGTGAAACTAATATTGTACATCGACTATATTTCAATAAAAATAATTAAATTTCTTTCAAAATATTCCATCAAGATTTCCCCACTAATCTAATCTGTCTCCCTAATTAAAACAAATTAAAATGACAGTACTGGTCACAGACTATGTACGTAATAGGTATTCAAATATTTGGTAAATAATGCTTTACCCATTTTTCTAAGCATTTCCTAAATCTACAAAGTGAAACTCATTTTGTTACCGTAAGTCAGACGAATGAAGTTACAAAGATTTGAATTTAAAAAAACATTACTGATTGCATCTTCTTAAAACACCCAATGTAGTAAAATTTATTTTTCCTGGAGGACTGTACATGTTAAAGTAGAGGAAGATATATATCCCGCACTGCCCTAGCCAAATCACCAACACTGGACACTATAACTATAAAAAATTACGATATTTCTCCATTACCTTATCCTGTGCAACAGCCTCAGGAGATTTTGCAGATTCTACCACCAGTGGAACAAGATTTGTAGAGTCTTCACTGGAATTAAAAGACTGCAATTTTAATTCTTCACCTAAAACTTCGCTAGTGGAGTCCTCCTCTTCTGTTATAAGTGAAGTCTTAAGAGTATCATCCATTATCTCACCATTCATAGGCTCTGATTCAGATTCCTACACCATCGAGGGCAAAAAAAGTCAGGATAAAATTACAGATTAACTTACTTGTCATACAAGGTGGGTCCATTCTCAGTCGCCCTGTCATGCACCAGGACTCAAGATACATTCTACCACGTTACAGGACACAGGTTAAGGAACAGCAGAGTCAGTAAGAGAAAAGAATCCATTAAGTACCCCAATTTCCCTCTGTTCTCATGGAGAAAAGACAGGACCAGGATGCTCTATGGACCCAGTGTGGGTCTGAGATTCAGTGAAGAGACCCTGCCTCCTCCTTCCTCTTCTTCCATATAGGGCAGTGACAGGAAGAACCTTTTCAGTAAAAAGCCACCAGAGAAAGTCTAGATTTGGTGCCAGCTCTTTACAGAACATCAGCTGTTTGGCACTCGGAATCCTTGGGGCCCCTGGGAAGTCACAGTTCAGCATGCAGGGGGAGGAAGCAGTAGCAGTCTTGTGGGAAGCTGAGTTTGGGTACAGCTTCTTGCTGGGAGGAGAGAGCCCTCAGTCTTAGTGAGCTCATTCTCCTGTCAACAAAGGGTCATCTTTGAACAATGCTGCTCCTTAAATCACATCAAAATATGGAAAAGTGATTTGATAACACTAAGTCTCCAATTTCTGAACTCCTCTTCCAAGGTTTATCAATTTACAAGACTTCATTAACATCTAATATTTCTAATTAATCCTAATGACATTCTAATAATTAGAGATCATTTTATTTAATTATCATTTAAAATATTAGAACACTGGGCTTCCCTGGTGGCGCAGTGGTGAAGAATCCGCCTGCCAATGCAAAGGACACGGGTTCGAGCCCTGGTCCGGGAGGATCCCACATGCTGCTGAGTGGCTAGGCCCGTGCGCCACAACTCTGAGCCTGTGCTCTAGAGCCCGCAAGCCACAACTACTGAGCCTGTGTGCCACAACTACTGAGCCCGCATGCTTAGAGCCCATGCTCCGCAGCAAAAGAAGCCGCTGTAATGAGAAGCCCATGCACCGCAACGAAGAGTAGCCCCTGCTCACCGCAACTAGAGAAAGTCCACTAACAGCAACAAAGACCCAATGCAGCCAAAAATAAAATAAATTTAAAATAAATTAATTAAAAATAAAATAAAAATTAGAACACTGATGCACTTAAATTTTAAGAAATAGACTTGGCTGGATTATATAGAACCCCTGAAATCATATAATGAATGTTTTCCTAAGGGATACTGAAATCAGAGACTTAGAAAAATTAATCTGGCCAGAGAGTATAAAGAATAAACTGCACACAGAAGGTAATTATAATAAAACTCACAAAAGGACCAACTACGTTAAGAGAAATGTTAAAAGAAGAAAATGAGAAAGACATAGCAAAAATTTTTATTAAAAAAACAGGATTTTGGTGAGTAACTACAAGTGAGAAGCAACAGAAGAGAAAAACTCAGTCCTTCAAGTTCTAGGTTTGGGAACAGAATGAAAAATGAGAAATAGGAAAAAAGGCTCAATAGAGAAGTGATAGGAAAGAACAGAGATGTTAAAATTTAAGATGATAAAAGACATCTGTCTAAACAGAAATATTCAGAAGGCAAGTAATACTGAATTCTGGATCAATACTGAAAAGTCTGGAGTTATTGGTCATCCCCACAGAGATGACCATTCAACCATTAGACTAGCTGCATTTTCAAAAGAGAAGCATGAACAAAAGAGCAGAAAGTCAAGAACTGAGTCTTCTAGAATGTCCACAAATACAGGGGAAAAAACAGGAAGCAGAAGAGTCAAAAAGCAAATAAATAAAAACAAAACAAAACTTGAGAGAGAGGAAAACCAAGAAACCAGAACACAACAGTGTTAAAGCCAGGGTACTAGAGAATCCGGAGGAAGAGTAGTCAACCTAGGTAAGAAAACCCACCAGAATTGAGTGAAAGTGTCACTGGTGACCTACAAGAGTAGGTACTCACATGTATTGTTGGACAAAAGAAACAGGTTACATGAAGGATGTACAGTATAATCTTAAGTTTAAAAAAAAAAAAAACACAAAAATATACATACATTCCCATAGACTTCTAGAAGCATATAAATCCCTTTTTGAAAATGTGTGTTTGTGGCTTCCCTGGTGGTGCAGTGGTTGAGAGTCCACCTGCCGATGCAGGGGACGCGGGTTCGTGCCCCGGTCCAGGAAGATCCCACATGCTGCGGAGCGGCTGGGCCCGTGAGCCATGGACGCTGAGCCTGCGCATCTGGAGCCTGTGCTCCGCAACGGGAGAGGCCACAACAGTGAGAGGCCCACGTACCGCAAAAAAAAAAAAAAGTGTTTGTTTCCCTAATTTTTACAAGAAGAGAAAAAATGTCATTTAAAAATACAATTTCATGAAGTAGAGGAAACGAGCTAAATTGGAGCAAGTTAAACATAAATAAAATCAATAATGCAGTTTCACTTGCTTAGCTCCTGGCTGGACTTGACAAACAGGTAAAAGATTTTTAAAGAAACTTAAGTATGTCTGAAAGAAGAAATAAGGAATCTGTAAGAGAGGAAAAGATTGAAGATATTAAAGAAAAAGAAGGATAGGAAATAGAGAAAATGAAAAAAGAAATGAAGCCAGATAAAGAGTTTTTACTCAGTCACAAAGGATTTTCCTCCTTGTTTTCTAGTGGTAAAGAAAATGAATTTAGTTATCTTTCTAGGAATTTGTAAATCAACTGTAGTCAAATACATATGCTTTTTCTGGACAACTAATTCTATCCTTCTAACCAAAGTAGGGGTGCAATTTAGGGCTTGTTGGACATTAAGGCGTTCTAACTGGTTTTATAAAGTAGACCTCTTATAGTCACATTTGTGTCACTTCTTAAGTATGTTTAATTCTACAAATTAATTTGTATTTTAAATACACCAAGGGACATTACTAACTAAACATCCTCTATTTTATCTTTGCAATATGTCAAACTTTATAAACTCAGTTTGAAATATAAAATACTTGTAACTTTATCCTCTACTACCTGACCTTGCTTTAGTTTAGACATGTATGCTTTTTTTTTTTTTTTTTTTTTAATTTATTTTGGCTGTGTTGGGCCTTCGTTGCTGCAGGCGGGCTTTCTCTAGTTGCAGCAAGCAGGGGCTACTCTTCATTGCAACGTGCAGGCTTCTCACTGTGATGGCTTCTCTTGTTGCAGAGCACAGGCTCTAGGCTCACGGGCTTCAGTAGTTGCGGCACATGGGCTCAGTAGTTGTGGCTCAGTAGTGAGCGCAGGCTCAGTAGTGTGGCACAAAGGCTTAGCTGCTCCGTGGCATGTGGGATATTCCTGGACCAGGGCTCGAACCCGTGTCCCCTGCACTGGCAGGCGGATTCTTAACCACTGCGCCACCAGGGAAGTCCTGAGATATATGCTTTTTAACATTAAATACAATTTCGACTAAGAGTCTAAAATACATCGTTATGCTTTTCTAACAATATATGACTAAGAAAGTTAAATTTTACTTCCATTCATTTTATTTAATAAGTGAATCTCCTACCTTTTCACCTTCTTGCTTTTCCAGGCCTGGCTGGGTTTCTGGTGCTGGTCGAACATTTTTATCACTACTTTCATCCTCAAATTCAATCACACTCTGTTCAGGTTCTTCTTCCAAGAATTCTTCTGAGCTCTCTGATGTTCGCGCAGTAGACTCCAATCTACAAAACCAAAGAAAAACATTCTTACTTGTTTTATTAAAGATGAATATAAAATTTCAGGAATCCGTTAATAAAGTAACACTTCAGAGAATCAACTAAGTGTTGTTCAGACAACAACTTCAAATTTTACAGGTCCAAAACCAACCTCTTCATCTTCTTACAAGTTTGTTCTCTTTCCTACCTTGTTCTCCAGTTTGATCACCACCTTTTCAATTATGTAAACTAGACCTTTCTTTTACTCTATCTATACTGATTGGATCTTATTATCCTAGAATGAGCATACATCTCAGCTTACCTGGGACAGTCCAGTTTACAACTTTTGTCCCAGCACTGGCATAATTATGGGCATCCCTCATTTTATTGCACTTTGTTTTACTGCATTTTGAAGATACTATGTTTTTACTAATTGAAGGTTTGTGGCAATCCTGCGCTAAGCAAGTCCATTGAAGCCATTTTTCCAACAGTATTTGCTCACTTCATGTCTGTGTCACGTTTTGGTAATTCCCACAATACTTTGAACTTTTTTTGTTATTATTATATTTGTTACAGTGATCTGTGATTAGTGATGGTTGATGTTACTATTTTAATTGTTTCCAGGTGCCACAGGTTACACTCATATGACAAACTTTTTTTATAATGAATTTTTTTAATTGGAGTATAATTTACTTACAATGTAGCGTTAGTTTCTGCTGCATAGAAAAGTGAATTGGTTATACATATACCTATGTCCACTCTTAAGATAGCAAACTTAACTGATAAATGTTGTGTGTGTTCTGACTATTGAAACTGATTGGCCATTCCCCATCTCTCTCCCTCTCTTTGGGCCTCCCTATTCCCTGAGACACAACAGTACTGAAATTAGGCCAATTAATAACCCTGCAACGGCTCTAAGTGTTCAAATGAAAGGAAGAGTCACACGTCTTCTCACTTTAAATCAAAAGCTAGAGATGATTAAACTTAGTGAGAAAGGCACGTTGAAAGCTGAGATAGGCAGAAAGCTATGTCTCTTGAGCCAAACAGTTAGTCAAGCTGTGAATACAAAGCAAAAGTTCTTGAAAAAAATTAACAGTGCTACTCTAAGTGAACACACCAGTGATAAGAAAGCAAAACAGCCTTATTGCCGATATGGAGAAAACGTTTTAGTGGTCTGGCTAGAAGATCAAACCAGCTACAACATTCCCTTAAGCCAAAGCCTAATCCAAAACAAGGCCCTAACTCTCTTCAATTCTATGAAGGCTGAAAGAGGTGAGGATGCTACAGAAAAAGAGACTGAAACTAGCAGAGGTTGGTTCATGAGGTTTAAAGAAAGAAGCTCTCTCTGTCACAGTGCCAGGTGAAGTAGCTAGTAGTGCTTATGTAGACACTGCATCAGGTTATCCAGAAGATCTAGCTAAGATAATGAATGAAGGTGGCGACACTAAGCAACAGATTTTCAATGCAGACAAAAAACCCTATTGGTACAAGATGTCATCTAGGACTTTCAGGGCTAGAGAAGAGAAGCCAATTCCTGGCTTAAACTTTCAAAGGACATCCAAAATATATAAACAGCTCATGAAGCTCAAAATTAAAAAAACAAACAACCCAATCAAAAAATGGGCAGAAGACCTAAATAGACATTTCTTCAAAGAAGACATACAGATGGCCAAGAGGCACATGAAAAGCTGCTCATGTGCTCACTATTAGAGAAATGCAAATCAAAACTACAATGAGGTAGCACCTCACACCAGTTAGAATGGGCATCATCAGAAAATCTACAAACAACAAATGCTGGAGAGGGTGTGGAGAAAAGGGAACCCTCTTGCACTGTTGGTGGGAATGTAAATTGATACAGCCACTGTGGAGAACAGTATGGAGGTGCCTTAAAAAACTAAAAACTGAATTACCGTATGCCTCAGCAATCCCACTACTGGGCATATACCCAAAGAAAACCATAATTCAAAAAGACACATGCACCCCAATGTTCACTGCAGCACTATTTACAATAGCCAGGTCGTAGAAGCAACCTAAATGCCCATCAACAGATGAATGGATAAAGAAGATGTGGTACATATACACAATGGAATAATCCTCAGCCATAAAAAGGAACGAAACTGGGTCATTTGTAGAGACGTGGATGGATCTAGAGACTGTCATACAGAGTGTAGTAAGTCAGAAAGAGAAAAACAAATATCGTATATTAACGCATGTTTTTGGAATCTAGAAAAATGGTACAGAGGAACCAGTTTGCAAGGTAGAAATAGAGACACAGATGTAGAGAACAAACGTATGGACACCAAGGGGGGTAAGCGGGGGTGGGGGGGGCAGGGGGGATGAATTGGGCGATTGGGATTGACATGTATACACTGATGTGTATAAAATGGATGACTAATAAGAACCTGCTGTATATAAATAAATAAATAAAAGTAGCACAGCCACAGATGTATCCATCCACTTAAAAAAAAAAGTTTCAAAGGACAAGCTGACTCTCTTGCTGGGTACTAATGCAGCTGGTGACTTGAAGTTGAAGCCAGTGCTCATTTACCATTCTGAAAATCCTAGGGCCCTTAAGAATTATGCTAAATCTACTCCCTCGTCCTCCATAAACAGAACAACAAAGCGTGGATGACAGCACACCTGTCGACAACATCGTTTCTGAATATTTTAAGACCTATTGCTCAGGAAAAAAAATTTCTTTCAAAATGTGACTGCTCATTGACAATGTATCTGGTCACCCAAGACCTCTGATGGAGATGTACAATGAAATTCATGTTGTTTTCATACTTGCTAACACACCATCCATTCTGCAGCCCATGCATCAAGGAAGTATTTTGACTTTGAAGTCTTATTATTTAAGAATTACAGTTCATAAGGCTATAGTTGCCACAGATAGAAATTCCTCTGATGGATCTGGGCAAAGTCAATTGAAAACCTTCTGAAAAAGATTAACCATTCTAGATGCCACTATGAACATTCACGATTCATGGGAAGAGGTCAAATATCAACATTACCAGGAGTTTGGAAGAAGTTGATTCAAACCCTCATGCATGACTTTGAGGGGTTCATCAGTTTTCCTTACCAACACTCCTCCCAGCTTTGTGCCTTTGCTCATGTTACTCCTGCAGTCTAGAACTGCACAGTGCAATACAATAGCCACGAGACACTTGTCATTATTTACAGTAATTAAAACTGAGAGAAATTAAAAACTCAGCTCCTCAGTTGCACTAGCCATACTTCAAGTGCTTGGTGATGAGCAAACTGAGTAGTGGCTGCCATGCTGGACAGGGAAGGGCAGACACAGAACATGTCCAGGGCTTCCCTGGTGGCGCAGTGGTTGGGAGTCTGCCTGCCAATGCAGGGGACGCGGGTTCGCGCCCTGGTCTGGGAAGATCCCACATGCCGCGGAGCAACTGGGCCCGTGAGCCACAATTACTGAGCCTGCGCGTCTGGAGCCTGTGCTCCACAACAATAGAGGCCACGATAGTGAAAGGCCCGTGCACCGCGATGAAGAGTGGCTCCTGCTTGCCACAACTAGAGAAAGCCCTCGCACAGAAACGAAGACCCAACACAGCAATCAATCAATCAAATAAATAAATAAACAAATAAATAAACAAATAAATAAACAAATAAATAAAAATATCGCCCCTGATTTAAAAAAAAAAAAAGAACATGTCCAGCATGACAGAAGGTTCTGTGAACAGCCCTGGTGTAGACCAGGGGTCAGCAAACTTTTCCTTTAGGTTTTGTGAGCCATATGGTCTCTGAACAACTACCCAACTCCACCAGGTAAAGCAAAAGCAACCATAATAAAAATGTGAACTAATAAGCACAGATGTGTCACAAGAAACTTTTATTTACAACAATAGGTGGTGGGCCAGATTTGGCCTATAGACCATAGTTTGTAGACCCTCAAACTAGAAAAGAAAGTCTTCTTTCCCAACTCTGCTTGCTGAGTTTCTACTTATCTTTGAAGCCCTGGCACAAATGTCAAATTTCTCTATCCCCTCAATTAGAATCAATCACACCCTACTTTGCATCCATAGCACTTTGCACTTCTATTATTATTTCACAATCCACCTTGCAGTGCTCTTAACCTGTGTCACAGGTACAGATATGTGTATTAGAAACTTATAAACAGTCGATTCTTCAAGGGCAAAGATGAAGTTTTGTTCTTCATAGTGTCTGAGCACTTAAGCATTTAGTCTCACTGTTACTATTTTATGAAAAGCAAAAAACATTCCACAATAATTCTGAGATGTTCAATTTAAAATTTACTGTTACATTCCCTTCTAAAAAGGGTATTACCACAAAATGTTGCTCAGTGAAAAAAACTATAATTATCTAAACTCATTGTTCTTTTCACAAATTAAATATTTACTTAAATTTGACTTTAAAGTGATGAATTTTTCATTAAAATATAACATTTACATAATTATCCAAATTTAAAGTTACATACATAATGAAATTAGCAGAGTTACAGAATTCTCTACCTGAGTAGAATAACTTCACAACTAAAATGGCAACACTATGAATGGTTGACTCAGGAACAGTTAGCAGGACTGTCACAGCAAAAGCCTAATTTAACTATAATATTGAAAATCTTGCTTTCTTTAAGATTCAAAGGAAGATGGAGAATAAGGTTTTGATCCAAGTGTTCTGTTGATTCAGCTGGCTATTAAGTTTCCGGAGGAGTTGACAATACCATTTATGGCTATCACTAATTTGCTATATTCTATAACCCAGTAAAATGAATTAGTTATAAAGTAAAATTGAGGGTTTTTTAAACTGACTAAACCTCAGCACTGCTGAAAACCACAGCTACTGTCAAATTCAAAGTTGACAATAATGACTCATTTGGGATAATATAATCACTAGAATATTCTCCTGGATTTTCACACAAGAGACTAAATCATGAGTTTATTCCACTCTCTTACTAGCAACTTCTCCCTATACCACTGTCAAAGTGACACTTACCAAGTGTAATCAATAATCTTGTGGAAGAACTCAAATACAAAGTTCTACACCAAGGGCATTTACTACACAAACAATAAACTTCACCTTAAAAACTAAATACTAATAATACGAAAATAAGAATAAACAAAATAACGAGAGTAAAATAAACAATACTTCACTTGTTCACTGAAGCTGTGGGTGAAGTCTGGGGAGTCTTTTCATCTTCCCCTTGAGAGCTACTAAATTCAGAATCCTGAAACCGTTTTCCAATCTTTGGCCGCTTTAGATGACTACTTCGAGTACGAGTGGAAACAGGTGTTTTACCGTGACCTGAGGAAAAAAACGGCAAAACTATAATTGATTATGTATTCAAAGGATTACCTATTAAACTACACAGGAATGAAAAAAAATACACAGAAATGCAAGAACTACGCTAGTTTACCTAAATCCCCAACATTACACACTTCCTCTCTGTCACTTCGGGTTAAGAAACCATGTCAGTGTCTTTTTCTAAACTATGAAATAACCTTGTCAGTATTCATTCCTCACATTTCTGTGTCACCTTGAGTTTTTGCAAAGTGTTTCTGCATTTTCACTTAGACCCTCTTCCAATAATCTTGGGAAATAAACAAGGTAGACATTACTGTCCCTATTTTACAGTTAAGGAAATGAAAACAAAAAAGGCAAAATAGCTCACCTAACTGTTCACACAGCAAAATCAGTGGTAAAAGAACCCAGATCTAGATTTTAGGGCTGGAGAAGTCTTCACTTTACTCTAAGGGACACACACACTTAATTCTAACTGTCTCAAACACTTACTAATAGACCAGCTGAATTTCTTACCTTCAGAAGTACTTGCAAAGGCATCTTTTAGAGAATCAATCTAAAACAGAGATACAGATTAAAACCACGTTTTAGATCCTTTCTTCTCCCTATGGATCTACTTCATACAGTTACAAAGAAAATCTTTTAAAAGTTTTTCAAATAGCACCTTTTGTACTCACTATTCATCAACTAAGAAACTCACTTAGGAAGTAAAAAAGCTATATTATAGCTTCAGTTTATTATGAGCTTAAGAACTTAGGAAGCCATCTAATATGCTATAGTGATATACACGGGGTTTCTGAATGTTCTGTTCTTGGCTCCCTTCTCTTCTCAGTCCACATCCTCCTTCTCTGTAACTGTATCTACTACCTTTACCTCAACAGCTATTTGCTGATGAATCCAAATATACAATTTAATCTCCCCAACTTTTTTCCTGATTTCCAAATGATGAATCCAGATATACAATTTAATCTCCCCAA